CCGAAAATATCTTAACCAATCATGTTTTAGAAAAGTGTACAATTATAACTTCGAAAATCTGACTAAGTTTAAAAAAATTCCAACAAAATTTTAAGTTTCTAGCCTAAGTCTGTTAAATTAATTCATAAAATTGCTTAAAACGGATTTTAATTGTATGTCCTCCTAAAAACCGGTATGTCACTTATTCGAATTTAGTTTTTTTTTATATTTATCCATTTCTATCCAGTGCTATCCAATTGAAGCTTCTAATTTTTCTGTTCTAGCTCATTTCTTTGACTACCATATCGGCCTCTTCTCCAGCTCTATAAAGACTTTTTCTTTGCTTATTTAATTTTAAATTTTGAAGCATAGATTCACAGTTTTAACTTAGGCTGTCTTTCCTTAGTACCACAGAATTTTTAGAAGGAAAAAGTTAATTTTTCTTATTTTTTATTTTCTTTTTTTACCATAACTATTTTTTCTTCTTTTTTAATTTGAAAAGAATTCTGAATAAATTAATAAGAAAATAAAAAACATAAAAAAAAACATTTTTTTTGAAATCATGAAATGGAAAAATGCGCGGTTATTTTTCAATTTAAACTAGCGGTATTTTTTATTTAAGTATATGAAGTTTGTAGGTATCTACTTAGGCCTACCAATTTAAAATAGTTTAAGACAATTTTCCTTCTGATACAGAAAACAAAAAAAAAGCAATGCATAAAAACAAAGTATAAGAGAAAAAAATTAACAATTTTATGTCGTCCAACCGAAATGAGACGATCGAGAATGAATGCAAGCGCAAAACAAAAGGTGAAAAGAAAACCACAAAAGATTTTCGGATGTTGATTTTTATCTCTCTATATAGTCTTTACTTTTGTTGCATTATATTGGGCGCATTCGTATTACACATACCACATTTTAAAATCATATTAAGGAGTTACCATTAACCACAAAATGGTATTTACATAAAATTCTGTAAAATAATTTTACCAAGTTATTCACATATATATTTTTATACTTGCAATATCACATATCATAATATGGGCATAATAAATAAGTAGAGTGTGCACCTTTAGAAAAACCGCATAACTCACTTTCTATTAACATTTTATGGTGTATAGAAAAAAATAATAAGAAAATGGTAAAAAGAGAGGTAAAATTTAATTAATTTCTAAAAATTTCCACTAGAGTGGGTTAAAGTATAATTTTTCTTTAAATTTTGTCTTCTCTTTTTAATTCTTGTATTTTTTTTTCTTCTTTTGCATTTTTATTACAAAATTATTAATATTTTTTTCCATTTTCTTTGTAAATACTTAAGTATCTTATAATATGATGGCGTCGTTTACTTTATACTTATAGTCTTCTATAGTCTGCTAAATCCAAAAAAAGAAAAAAATTAAATTATAAATTAATTCAATTTTTCATTTATTTAAAATTTCTTTAAACAAAGCTTAAAAATTATTTCTTTTATTTGAATTCTATAGATTTTATTAAAGTTGTTCTAAAAGTTAAAGTTGTTCAGCTAAGGTATTTTTTTTTGCAAAATGTTCACATATTTTAATAATAGTCTATTAGATTTAAGCATTCTAAGATAAAAAATACGTAAGTATTCGGTATACAATGTAAAAAAAAATAAAGTTGGGCCAATGGTTTGTAATGTAGCACTTTTTCTTTCAACAAGTGAAAATACTTCTTTTAAAAACAATCTATGTTACCTTCATTCATATACAAAATTAGTACAAAAATTGCATACATTTAGGATCAGTCAAAACAAAAATTGAAAGAAAAATTAACATAATGCTCTAATTGCAGTGCTAATTGCGTAGGTTAAGTGCTAAATTTATACAGATTTGGAAAAGCTTTCGGTTTCGAAAATATAGGTGCCAAAAACTAAAATTTTAGAAATTATATCGAGAGACGATAATTTTAGAGGGTGTGGAGGTGGAAAAAAACTTTCTACGATAATAAAAAGATACTAAAGATCTTTGTAAATATGAAATTTAGCTTTTTATCTTCAAGGTTTGTGAACGGATCCACGGACGGACGAACGGACAGAGTGAAACTAATAAGCACTTTTTTAGAAATTTTGTTTGTAAGAGTGTTACAAATGCAGACTACATATAAAATAACAGTAAATAATGTGTATGAAATTTCAAAATTTCACCTCAAATTTATGATTGTATAAAAATAAATTTAAACAAAATTAAAATTAAGATTTGAAAATATTTGAAAAGATTTGAAAAACAAAAAAACTGACTAAATAAAAAATTTAATAATTCTCTTAAGTTTAGTCTATATATAAAGTCAAAATTTCACTAACACATTTCATTTATTTCTGAAATTTTGCATTAAACTCTGCATAATTATTGAAATATGAAATTTTACCTGAAATTCTGTCAGATATGACACTATACCTCCAAAATTATTCCAAATTTGTAGAATAACTCTTGTAATACTTAAATAATAACAGCCTGGCAACAACATATTTTGCAATTTCTAACGATATAATAAAAAAACTCCTCAATTTTCTATGTTTACAGAATTTACAGAATGTAACTTTTGTATAGGTATCGTAGCTTATGATAAACTTGAATTTTAACTGCTGCAAATGTCTATAATTTAGAATAAATTTAGAGGAGTCTGTAACATCAAAAAATTTCGTTCTAAAAAAAGCATTAAATAGCATTTGTATTTAAAATTTGAACGGTGATCTTTTGAAAACAGATAGGGGTAAACAAACTTAGTAACATATGGTAAAACAGAGTGAAATTATAATAGCTCAATTTTTATGTTGTCCTAAAAATATAATACATACATATTTTTTATACGCATGTATAGGCTAAAGAATAACAAATAAAAGTCATATAAAATAATAAAATTGATTTTCAATTACGAGGCCTAATTGTTATATAAAATAAACAGTTATAGAAAATTAAATCAATTCCTAAAGTAATCTGTGTTAAATTACAAATTCAATTTATTTGTATTCTCATTTCCTAATTCTTCTGAATACTTTTACAAAGCCGAGACATTTATAATAAATAATATCGCACAGATAAATCAAAACTAAAACAAGTAAAATTGTCATTAATATTAAATATTCTAATAAAAAAAAAAAAAAATTTATACTTTATCTCTTTAATATTATCCGAGTAGACAAGAGAAACAAAAGAGATCTTATCTTTCTCCTCCTTATGTCATATTACTGGCATAATTTAATTAGCATATTTAGACATACATAAAAAACTTGTCTCTTTTACACTTCAAGAATCAAAAGAATAACAACATTTCACTCGAAAATATCTTTTACAAAAAAAATAACAAAACTCTTTTATAACACACAAGAATTTAAATTTTAATGGAATCAAAAGTATTAAGGGGCCCTACAAACATACATATAAATATCATGTATATTGTAGAATAAGTGTATTACTGTGTCACCTATCATTTATACTTTAATACTAATACACTCAAAAAAAAATATTACTACATTTGCTAAAGTTTTGCATGCTCCTAGTTATAAAAACTGGTAGAAATCGGGATAGTGCGAAAAAATAGCATTTTCTGTCATGTTTTATTGCACTGAATTATTAACATTAGTTGATATTTTTTTATCTGATGCTGCTAAAAAATACAAGCCGTTTTCGTTACTGAGAGCCATATATTTTTGTCGATACAGCATAAAATTTTATTGTTTTCGGACTTATTTATTTCACTCAAGACTATGCAACTTGACTCTGTCAGATATGTATTATTAGTGTTACAGTCAGTGATTTTGCAAATATATAATTAAAATTTTACAGTTCTTATAGTTATTTATTTTATTGATAGCGATGTAATTTGGCTCTGTGTCTATATATTATGTATACTGCAGTTAGGGATTATTGCAAATGCAGCATTAAAATTTGATTGTATTAACAAATATTTAAATCATTAATACCAATTTAATGTGGCACTTTTTGCAACCTATTACCTCTGTTTCAATTGGGGATTTTTGCAAACACAGATCTAAATTTTTACTACTTTTACAATTATTTATCCCTATAAAAGCAATGTAATATAACTCTATTACTTAAATAAAATGGACTATTCTGACATTTATTATAACTAAAAGAAGTGAAACTAACAATAACCATTGGTTTATCATTAAATTTTTATTGGTACACAAAATAGACATTTCACAGAATCAAATTATTTGGTTGTTTAATATTTTTCATATACTAAGTTTTACATTCTTTTCTTTTAAACAATAATCCTTATAAATATGAATTACCTATTTAAATGAGAGTTTTGCTTAATAACGTTTGTGTTTTAAAAACTTTTCGCAAAGTGCTGAGCTTGAAAGATGACGTTCATGTGTCTTGCAAGAACACAAGTTCTTGATTAGGTGAAGATATATTACCACTATTTTCCGATGAAAAATCTGATATTGTAGCACTGCCGCTTTCCACGATTTCAGTTGCGTAAGTATTTTCCGAAATACTTCCTGCTGATGGCGTTGAATACTGAAATATAATATACATTTTAAATTAATTACTGATGAAGAAATTTAATTCAATTAACAAAATATTTGTTTTCACCTGCATATTTTTATATTTTTTAACGAACTTATCCCAAAATATTGCTCTTATTCCTTGTTTTTAATTAAATTTAAGACTCCTTGATATTCCAAGCTCTCAAAAGCTTCTTGGTTCAACTCTTCTTCTAATAATTTCGTGAAGCACTTTTATGAAAAAGAAATAATATTATTAATAACATATTACGTAATTCACTATATTATTATAAAACATCAATTAAGTTATATAAAAAGAAATAATACTTATATTTTAAAAATTTTTAACATTTTTTAATTGCACAATATTATTGCGCACTATAAACGTGTCCGCTTATGTTTCTGATTCTATAAAAACTAAAAATCTGATCTAACCTTTATATATTTTTGGATAAAAAAAGAACGGGATTATTAACATTTACTTGCATTTGCAACAATTTAAACAATTGCTGTCACGTTTATCACTGCAATGGAATGTTACGTTTTATTTCGAGAATTTGATAAAAGAACAAAAGGTAATGAACGAATGTATTACCAGCATTTTATTTTAGCCTTTACAGTGATGTTTTTTACAGCATCACAAAAAATATAACTGTCACAGCTATGAGCTCGTATAATTAAAGCTGTAATATTGTTAGTTACACATGTAATGTTGCAATATTAATAAACTAATTTTAGCACAATTTCTTATAGCTAAAGCAGCTATGTTTTTTTGTAAGGATGCAGAAAAACATGGACATAACAGCCAAAATAAGATACTGATATGATAATAATATATACATATATCTTACATATACATATATGTATATGTTCAATTAATAACTCCACACTCATATTCACCTTCCGATTAATGATATGTTTTTTTTTAATTAAAATTTGTAAAAATTTTACTTACTTACCTTCAAAAATAGGTTTTAATGAGCTATGTAAGTCCCTATTCTTCCAAAATATTTTTTACAAAATTATCCATTTTTACTGCATTTAATTTTTTATTTTAAATTTTTTTTTTACCTTAACTTTCACACTTAACTTGCGTATAGTCCAATCGAAATATTTGAACTACTTCTTACGCATAATAATTCAGACGCAATATTCAAAAATCAAAGTTTTAATATTACCGTTATCCAAAAACAGTCTTGTAAAATGAGAAAATAGATGTTTTAATAAATAATACTACAAATTTAATATAGCATTCTCGTTGTAGATTTTATATATAGAAAAAGATAGCTGTATAATTGGCCAAATCCTCAGCATATATTTTAGCTATTACAGCAATTTTGTATTACTGCACAAACAAACAGTGAGAGTTGTGAGTGAATATGTTCTATTGCAAAATCAGTCATAATATTTAGCTTAATTTTCAATACAACGCAGTAATTTTAGAAATGTTTTGTTTGTCATGTACATATGTAGAATCTCATAGGGGCAGTTAAAAATGTAGTCATAAAATCTAGCTACATTTTACATGTCTTAAATCAGCTATGTATATCACTACAGAATAAATATGTATTCCATATGGAGGCAGAAATATTGTTAATTTTGTTATTTTTTTAGCAACTTCAGATATAAAGTTGTAGTTATGTTTTTTGGCTACGAAAATGGTGATCATTTTTTTCAGTGTATAACAGACTTACAATATAATATGTTTGCTATGTATAACAGCACTCAAATAATAAAATATTAGACAAGAAAATAACAAATTTAAGTCAACAGGAAAATTTTTACATAAAATATTTTTTTTTTTTGTTTTATTAACGCGATACTAAGAAAAACTTTAAGTCTCTTATAGTAGGTGAGAAGAATTAATTTTTGTTCGTATTGTGTTTAGCTTGAGAAAGGAGACCGATATAAATTTTTTCATATATATTTTTTATAATAATAGATTTTGACAAGTAACAAAAACTACAAATTAATAAATAAAATATAATACAAATAATAATAATAATGTATACCTAAGTATAAAAGAGATAAGAAAAGTAGAAAAGACTGAGAAAGCAAAAAGAAATAATAACAGCGTTAACAGAATAAAATTAAATTTGTAATACTTAAAATCGTATAGAGCCACCTACATTCTTTTAGTCAGTGATTTAAAATGAATGCTTGTTTTTTCTTTTTTAATTTTCTCCCTCTCTCTCTCTCTCTGAATCTCTGTTTTTATCTAAAATATTTTATTCTATTTTCTTCTTGTCAGTCTCCTCCATTTTTACAATTACAACAATGTTATAATACTATTTTATATCAGGGTAGTACTTAAAAGAGAAGAGATTAGTAAAAATTTATTAAAAGTCAGGCATATGAGCCACAAAAGCAAAATAGTGTTACAGGATTATAGTTCTTAAGAATTAATAACGTTGAATATAGATTAGGAGTTCGTTCACGTTTTAAATGTAGTTATACTGATTTTAATAAAAATTTTACTTCTTACGATTTTTTTTTAAATATGCACTTAAATCCAAATTTAGAATTATTAATTTAATGAGTTTAACTTAAAAATCTTTAAACACTGGAACTTAACAAAATGGAAATTTAATTCGATTGTAACAATAATATTGTTGTAGATAATCACACGAGTTTAATCGCACTCTATACTATATTTTAAGCCCAACAAACTATAATTCAATACAATAATTAACTCTTGTGAACAAAAACACGACCTCCTCGTGACATTTAATATTAACAGTCGCGTCTGAATTACTATACTTGCAGTAATTTCATTTACTAAGTTATAAATTCCATCATCCGACTATATTTCGCCTTATTATACACTGTCAGTATTTTCATTTCTATTGTAATTAGTGACCTGTTTGATTTAACATTATAAGAACTTCTCTGACAATTTTGTAATATGACTACTTTTAGTATTATAAATAATTTGTGCGTGTTTCATTTATATAAATGAAACACGCACAACTCTATATAAAAGTTATTGCAAGTCATATTTTATTAAATAGTTCTCAATCAATGAAAATATTATATATGAATGCATTGCATATTTATCGGATCATCCTCATACTCGTATTATAGTAATATTTTTTACCGAGAAGTTCGTGCAAAAAATAAATGTCGAGATTTTATTATTCATCCTCAATTTTTTTCAAAATATTCATTTTTTGACAACACAGCTTCTGTATATCTGCTTATTCTTGAGTTTCACAACGCTTTATTGAATAAAGTCATAATAATATCATATTGGTCACGAATACTAAATCCGCCCCTGAATTTAACTATGTATTTGAACTTAGTGGAATAAAATAAAAATAAAAACAAAAGAGTAAAATAAAAATGAATTTTTTTTTTCTCTTTTCTTGAAATTTATCAGTATCAGACATTAATAAAATTATAAAAATTGAAAGCTTATAGGCATAATGGACCGATTGCATCTAATATTTTAAATATGGACAACAATGAGGAAGTTAAAAATTATGATGCGATACGATTTTATGTTGAGAGATTTATGATAAAATACGTTAGTATATACATACATATAGACTTGTATGCGTACATTTATATTTACTTATGTGTTGAGACGGTGCTTATTGTTATGTTTATTTGTTATATGTTGTTGTTTTAGTTTTATAGACGGTTTTTCTTTTCGTTTTAAGTTTATTATAGGTTTTAAATTATTTTTGATTTTTATGTTGAAATTTTATTTTAATCAATATAACATGACATAAGAATATTATAATATTATGTACATATATATTATATGTATACTTATAAGAAATTTATATAAGACATGCTAGATAAAAATTTATATAAATAGTTTTTCTTCATCTTAACATACTATAGAGAGAGAAAAAGAAGGAATTTAGATGACATTTTTATATCTTTTTTTGTATAAGAATAAAAAATTAATGTTTTAATGATAAAGAAAATTTTTATCGGTCGTATTGAATTTAAGCATTAAAATGCTTCCAACCATATACATAATTTGTATCACATGAGAGATATAAGGCTACCTTATTCATTTTGAAAGAAAGTGCTTCGAATATCTGCTGAAGTGGTTTATAAATAGTTTTTACCAGTTACATATGTCAACATTGGTCGTTAAATCGAAATTAATCAGAAATTTGAGAAAAGTATGGTAGATTGTAAATTGTATATTGCAAAATGAGTGTACCTAAAAGGTCCACTGTGCCTCTCAGTTTCTCGTCTACATCATCCCCTCGAGACTCATGTTTTTGATGAATTCGAGTAATTTTCTCGTGAAAATATCCTACAACTCATCAGCAAGGACCCGTCCAAGCTGTCCCTTCTCTTATATTTATTAAAATTGATTTGATAACGAAAACATGTAATTGCATTAAATTCGAAAATTTAATTATTACTAAATTATTGGGTGAAATCAAAAACTTACTTTATTACTTACTTATTTTTACAAATGTCCCAACATTTGCCTTCGAGTTAATGTATATAGATTTAGATTATTTGTAATAAAATGTGATGCCATATAATATATTGCGTGTTTTGAGTAGTCAAAGAAAAATATTATTACAACGCATTTCTTTTGAAATATTCATCAAAAAGTAAGACAAAAGAAAAAAGAGAAAAACTTTTGCATAAAAAAAGTGGCACTCAAGAGACAGAGACATCCTTTGATAAATATTCTATGTCTTTCTTATAAACCTAAGATTAATATATATATATGCATATGAGAGTAAATTCAATTTCATCTCTAATATTTTATGAAAATTTCTTTAAGGTGGGTTTCTTTCAAAATTATAAATTGGAATATAAAAATTCTTTTACAAAACTATTGTATAACTATATATATAACAGTTATTTTCACATACATACTGTTATATAGATATATTACTTATATGTATGTAACACCAATTTGGATGTGCAGCATCTAAAGATGTCATAAGGTGTAATAAATTCATTATAGGTGTAATAAAATAATTTAATCTTTATGTCAAATTCTTTTAGTTCTCTGGTATATTTTAAAATTTTATTAAGAAGATTTTCATTATAATTTATGAGTATTGTCATAATGTTAGGGTTAAATTTCTATATAAAAGAAAAATATATATTTTTTTAATTAATTAGTATGTTATTATTTTATGTAATTGAGTACATGGTGTTTATGTGTGTCATTCAGTGAAGGTATGCACTGGGTTAACTCTACAAATTTAGGATTTTGGGAATGCAATGAAATATTTTTGATTTTGCTTAATAATTTCCTTAAAAATTTTAATTAAATTGTTATATTACAGAAAATTGAATAAGTAATTCTCTGTAAAGCTGAAGTTACTGCTAATTCGGCTTATTTGAGTCGATCTTAAAATTTTATTATAGAAATTGATATCCTGTAAATTTGAGGAATCTCAATTTTCAAGTAAAATTTCGGGTATATAACATAATAAGTCCACCTAAAAACTATGATTTCTGATAACCAGTCTTTCATATATTAATCCTTTTCCTTAAATGGGTGTTTGCAAGTAACTAATAATAATTTCCCTCATAGTTTTCAAATTTGTTGCAACCACAAAATATTTATTCAAAAATATCGATG